TGTTGAATTTTGTCAAAGGCCTTTTCTGCATCTATTGAGATAATGATGTGGTTTTTGTCTTTGGTTCTGTTTATATATTGTATTACGTTTATTGATTTGCATATGTTGAACCAGCCTTGCATCCCAGGGATGAAGCCCACTTGATCATGGTGGATAAGCTTTTTGATGTGCTGCTGGATCTGGTTTGCCAGTATTTTATTGAGGATTTTTGCATTGATGTTCATCAGGGATATTGGTCTAAAATTCTCTTTTTTTGTTGTGTCTCTGCCAGGCTTTGGTATCAGGATGATATTGGCCTCATAAAATGAGTTAGGGAGGATTCCCTCTTTTTCTATTGATTGGAATAGTTTCAGAAGGAATTGTACCAGCTCCTCCTTGTACCTCTGGTAGAATTCAGCTGTGAATCCATCTGGTCCTGGACTTTTTTTGGCTGGTAGGCTATTAATTATTGCCTCAATTTCAGAGCCTGCTATTGGTCTATTCAGGAATTCAGCTTCTTCCTGGTTTAGTCTTGGGAGAGTGTAAGTGTCCAGGAAATTATCCATTTCTTCTAGATTTTCTAGTTTATTTGCATAGAGGTGTTTATAGTATTCTCTGATGGTAGTTTCTATTTCTGTGGGGTCAGTGGTGATATCCTCTTTATCATTTTTTATTGCATCTATTTAATTCTTCTCTCTTTTCTTCTTTATTAGTCTTGCTAGTGGTCTATCAATTTTGTTGATCTTTTCAAAAAACCAACTCCTGGATTCACTGATTTTTTGGAAGGTTTTTTTGTGTCTCTATCTCATTCAGTTCTGCTCTGATCTTAGTTATTTCTTGTCTTCTGCTAGCTTTTGAATGTGTTTGCTCTTGCTTCTCTAGTTCTTTTAATTGTGATGTTAGAGTGTCAATTTTAGATCTGTCCAGCTTTCTCTTGTGGGCATTTAGTGCTATAAATTTCCCTCTACATACTGCTTTAAATGTGTCCCAGAGATTCTGGTATGTTGTATCTTTGTTCTCACTGGTTTCAAAGAACATCTTTATTTCTGTCTTCATTTCGTTATGTACCCAGTGGTCATTCAGGAGCAGGTTATTCAGTTTCCATGTAGTTGAGCAGTTTTGATTTTCTTAGTCCTGAGTTCTAGTTTGATTGCACTGTGGTCTGAGAGACAGTTTGTTATAACTTCTGTTCTTGTACATTTGCTGAGGAGTGCTTTACTTCCAATTATGTGGTCAATTTTGGAATAAGTGTGATATGGTGCTGAATAGAATGTATATTCTGTTGATTTGGGGTGGAGAGTTCTGTAGATGTCTATTAGGTCTGCTTGCTGCAGAGATGAGTTCAATTCCTGGATATCCTTGTTAACTTTCTGTCTCGTTGATCTGTCTAATGTTGACAGTGGGGTGTTAAAGTCTCCCATTATTATTGTATGGGAGTCTAAGTCTCTTCATAAGTCTCTAAGGACTTGCTTTATGAATCTGGGTGCTCCTGTATTGGGTGCATATATATTTAGGATAGTTAGCTCTTCCTGTTGAATTGATCTCTTTACCATTATGTAATGGCCTTCTTTGTCTCTTTTGATCTTTGATGGTTTAAATTCTCTTTTATCAGAGACTAGTATTGCAACCCCTGCTTTCTTTTGTTCTCCATTTGCTTGGTAGATCTTCCTCCATCCCTTTATTTTGAGCCTATGTATGTCTCTGCATGTGAGATGGGTCTCCTGAATACAGCAAACTGATGGGTCTTGACTCTTTATCCAGTTTGCCAGTCTGTGTCTTTTAATTGGAGCATTTAGTCCATTTACATTTAAGGTTAATATTGTTATGTGTGAACTTGATCCTGCCATTATGATATTAACTGGTTATTTTGCTCGTTAGTTGATGCAGTTTCTTCCTAGCCTCGATGGTCTTTACATTTTGGCATGTTTTTGCAATGGCTGGTACTGGTTGTTCCTTTCCATGTTTAGTGCTTCCTTCAGGGTCTCTTGTAAGGCAGGCCTGGTGGTGACAAAAATCTCTCAGCATTTGCTTATCTGTAAAGGATTTTATTTCTCCTTCACTTATGAAACTTAGTTTGGCTGAATATGAAATTCTAGTTTAAAATTCTTTTCTTTAAGAATGTTGAATATTGGCCCCCACTCTCTTCTGGCTTGTAGAGTTTCTGTCGAAAGATCTGCTGTTAGTCTGATGGGCTTCCCTTTGTGGGTAGCCCAATCTTTCTCTCTGGCTGTCCTTAAGATTTTTTCCTTCATTTCAACTTTGGTGAATCTGGCAATTATGTGTCTTGGAGTTGCTCTTCTCGAGGAGTATCTTTGTGGCATTCTCTGTATTTCCTGAATTTGAATGTTGGCCTGCCCTACTAGGTTGGGGAAGTTCTCCTGGATGATATCCTGAAGAGTGTTTTTCAACTTGGTTCCATTTTCCCCCTCACTTTTAGGGACCCCAATCAGACGTAGATTTGGTCTTTTTACATAATCCCATACTTCTTGCAGGCTTTGTTCATTTCTTTTTCTTCTTTTTTCTTTAGATTTCTCTTCTTGCTTCATTTCATTCATTTGATCCTCAATTGCTGATACTCTTTCTTCCAGTTGATCGAGTCGGTTACTGAAGCTTGTGCATTTGTCACGTATTTCTCATGTCATGGTTTTCATCTCTGTCAGTTCATTTATGGCCTTCTCTGCATTAATTATTCTAGTTATCAATTATTCCACTCTTTTTTCAAGATTTTTAGTTTATTTGTGCTGGGTACGTAATTCCTCCTTTAGCTCTGAGAAGTTTGAGGGACTGGAGGCTTCTTCTCTCATCTCGTCAAAGTCATTCTCCGTCCAGCTTTGATCCGTTGCTGGTGATGAGCTGCGTTCCTTTGCAGGGGGAGATGCGCTCTTATTTTTTGAATTTCCAGCTTTTCTGCCTTGCTTTTTCCCCATCTTTGTGGTTTTATCTGCCTCTGGTCTTTGATGATGGTGACGTACTAATGGGGTTTTGGTGTGGGTGTCCTTCCTGTTTGTTAGTTTTCTTTCTAACAGTCAGGACCCTCAGCTGTAGGTCTGTTGGAGATTGCTTGAGGTCCACTCCAGACCCTGTTTGCCTGGGTATCAGCAGCAGAGGCTGCAGAAGACAGAATATTGCTGAACAGCGAGTGTACCTGTCTGATTCTTGCTTTGGAAGCTTCCTCTCAGGGGTGTACTCCACCGTGTGAGGTGTGGGGTGTCGGTCTGCCCCTAGCGGGAGATGTCTCCCAGTTAGGCTACTCAGGGGTCAGGGACCCACTTGAGTAGGCAGTCTGTCCCTTCTCAGATCTCAACCTCCCTGTTGGGAGATCCACTGCTCTCTTCAAAGCTGTCAGACAGAGTCGTTTGCGTCTGCCGAGGTTTCAGCTGCTTTTTTGTTGTTGTTGTTGTTGTTGCTGTTGTTGTTGTTTAGCTGTGCCCTGTCTACAGAGACAGGTAGGACTCCTTGAGCTGCTGTGAGCTCCACCCAGTTCGAGCTTCCCAGCAGCTTTGTTTACCTACTTAAGCCTCAGCAATAGCGGGCGCCCCTCCCCCAGCCTCGCTGCTGCCTTGCTGGTAGATCACAGACTGCTGTGCTAGCAATGAGGGAGGCTCCGTGGGCGTGGGACCCTCCTGGCCAGGTGAGGGATATAATCTCCTGGTGTGCCTGTTTGCTAAGATCCTTGGTAAAGCGCAGTATTGGGGTGGGAGTTACCCGATTTTCCAGGTGTTGTGTGTCTCAGTTCCCCTGGCTAGGAAAAGGGATTCCCTTCCCCCTTGCGCTTCCCACGTGAGGCGATGCCTCGCCCTGCTTCAGCTCTGGCTGGAGGGGCTGCAGCAGCTGACCAGCACTGATTGTCCTGCACTCCCTAGTGAGATGAACCCAGTACCTCAGTTGAAAATGCAGAAATCACCTGTCTTCTGTGTCGCTGGCGCTGGGAGTTGGAGACTGGAGCTGTTCCTATTCGGCCATCTTCATCAGTTCATTCACGATTGTAGTTTTAAGGCTTCCATTGCTAGCAGTCGAAAGACAGTGCAGAAGTGTGAGGCTGGGAGCCAACAGAAATTTAACCAGCACAGCACCTCAATATTACATCACCAAGCATTGATTAGTCAAGGGAAACACTGTGTGATGAGTCCTGAAAATGGACATTACAGCATCAGAGTATTTACATACTCCTTAAAGAAGTCGTTCTTCTAGTCCAATCCCCCAGATGCTTGAGAAAGCTAAAGTCCAGAAAAGGGAACTAGTCTGCTCAAAGCCAAACTGAAATTATTTTTTTCCATTTTATAACAGTTTTATGAAATTTAGTTGAGACCCAAATGTGTTCTGACTTCCCAAGATCAGATCAACTATATTAAGAGAGAGCCAGTGCTACTATTACAATATGTTGCCTGAAATATACACTCTAATTATGGTGACAGTAGGTCTTTTAGATTTTGTTCAACAGTTGCCCACCTTCTCACCATAGTGAAATGAATGACTAGACAGCACCTTGCTTCATAGCGTGAAGAGAGGAGGCCCATAGTTCGTTACCACCCTATGTCAGGTGGCCGCTGAGAGAAGCCTTGACAGGAGATGAGAGTAGATGTATGGACGCTGTTTGTTGCACCGGTGTGATAGGTGACGGAGGGACCTATTAGATGAGACATGGGCAGGGGCACTCCTTTATTGCCTAAAATGCAATACTAAATTGGTGATGCTTTTCTAGAAAGGAAGTATGAAGATATAAAAAGCCATCATTCCTCCCAATTTTGTACTGGGTGAACAGTAATTGGAAGCATTCTACAAGGAACTGTCCATTGCGGAATGTTAGTTGCATACTTTAGATGAAAAGCAATGAATTGAGGATACCTCTGTTTTAGTCACAGTTCTGCAATGTGTCAGTTCTATGACTGATGGCAAGACATCTTCCTCGCCCTGTGTATTTAGTTTGTTATCAATATAATAAAGCTCTTATCTTACCTTTATTATTATATATAGATTTGTAATTATTATTCCCTTGGCCAGTTTAATATTGAGAAAATTAGCAATACTTTGTTTCTCTCTCCCCAGTATGTCAGTCGCCTCCAGATGTCCTGCATGGTGAGCGTACCCAAAGGGACAAGGACATCTTTCAGCCTGGGCAGGAAGTGTTCTACATCTGTGAGCCCGGCTATGATCTCAGAGGGGCTGCGTCTCTGCGCTGTACACCCCAGGGAGACTGGAGCCCTGCAGTCCCCAGATGTGAAGGTGCCTAGACTCTTGTCTGGCTTGATATTTTTAGCTTGCGTCTTTATTCTCTACATGCCAATATTTTCTGTTCATTTTTCTTTTACTCCAGTGAAATCCTGTGATGACTCCCTGGGCCAACTTCCTAATGGTCGTGTGCTATTTCCACGTAGTCTCCAGCTTGGAGCAAAAGTGGATTTTGTTTGTGATGAAGGGTGAGTGTGAGCTTGCCTGACCTCCTGGACATTGAAAATGGGGCTGGGAATTAGTGTAAAAAGGGGAGATTTGGTTTGGCTTAAAAGAAAGACACACACACACACACACACACACACATTCAGAGAGATGAACTTTTGAAAGTATACATAGGAAGAAAGGAAAGAAATGCACAAAACTAATAACATGAGATATGAAGAGGAAACTGGAACATATATTAACTGGCAAGTTCAAAGGCAAGTATAACTACTGGTTATGAATATATGGGTAACACATTAAGTAAAAAATATCAGCCAGGCACGGTGGCTCATGCCTGTAATCCCAGCACCTTTGGGAGGTTGATCTGAGGCGAGCAGATCACCTGAAGTCAGGAGTTGGAGACCAGCCTGGCCAACATGATGAAACCCCGTCTCTACTAAAAACACAAAAGTTAACTGGGCGTGGTGGCATGTGCCTGTAATCCCAGCTACTGAGGCACGAGAATCACCGGAACCTGGGAGGCAGAGTTTGCAGTGAGCCGCGATGGCACCATTGCAATCCAGTGTGGACAACAAGAGTGAAACTCTGTCTCAAGAAAAATAAATCATGTTTTACAAGCAAAAAAGAACATGAGTAATTTAGAGAGTCCCAGAAAAAAACTGCAAGTAACAAAAAGCTTATTCTTAATAACTGGGATCATTTAAGAATCATTTCAGTAAATTCTTTAAACCATCTATAGTGAAATTTGTAATAGGAATGAAAATGTAAAAATCAGCATTTTAAAAAAATTCAGTCACATATAATCTGGCTATTCATGGGCTTGGGCTCTGAGCTGGGGTCCTGATGGCTGCTGCTATTTCCGGCGAGGTCATTACCTTGTTTATGTCCATCTAGTGCTCTTCACAGATGCACAGGGTGCACATCTCTACACGGGAGCTGACCAGCATGGGCAACAAAGCACCTGATCCCAAAATGTTCCTCAGAATCTTGGCAGCCTCCAAATGCCAGCACCCAGTAACAGTTAGAAGGGCATCAGAGCCCAACAGAAACTGAGAATTTTCAACTATTGCATACAAAAATCAAGTCCTCTCTTCTTTCTTTTTTCCCCTAGAATATTCATGCTTATTCTTCAGCAGCCCAAACTGCCCTTGTGAGCCTTCTTCACGCCATCACAGATGCGGAGATGAAAGGACAATCTCCGTTCTCTCACCAGCTATTTCCCACTTTTCCAAACTGGGAGCTGTTTTACTTGCTGTTCCAGCATCAGAGTTAGGAAGGCATTACATTAGAAGACTGGGTTTCTAATAATGACAATGAGTGATTTATCAGGTTATCATGGAGTAATCAGTGAAACTCCAAGCCTGGGTCCTGGGTCAAGGAGATGGTGCCCATGTCATGACCACCTTTTTCAATTCAAGCAGGACTGTCATGTGACCAAGCTAATGCATTTTGCCATTCTATATTGCTCCCTTCTGGAGACTGTGAGCTTCCAGAATAACGTAGCCTGTGCAACTCTGCCACCTGCTGGCCTCCGGTCCTCAAAATCCTGAGATTTGGGGCAGGGCCTTAGATTGTGAACCAAGAGTCCTCTTGGCTGAAACAGCTCACTATTCACTCCTATTTTCTCCTTTAGATTTCAATTAAAAGGCAGCTCTGCTAGTTACTGTGTCTTGGCTGGAATGGAAAGCCTTTGGAATAGCAGTGTTCCAG